CCTAATTTCTTAAGCATTGTAAGTATTTCTCTTTTTTTGGAGTGGAGAAAATTGGGGATTGAACCCAGGGAAGTGCTGAGCCATATTCTCAGCCCTTTTGAGGCAGAGTTTTGCTAAATTACTCTAGCTGGCCTTGAACTTGCAATCCTCCATCCTCAGCCTCTTGAGTAGCTGAGATTATAGAAATGTAAGCCAGGCCTGGCAAATATTTGTATTTTTAAAGTAGAAATCATTTCACAAAGATGATACTGCCTAAAATACTGAGCATTATTTTCAACATTAATGGTGTGAAGAAATCCGTGGGGGTTCCTGCTTAATGCTAAATTGCAGTCTAAAACAAGACAATTTTTTTTCCCATTACGGAAAGAAATCATTCTCATCATTGTCTATATTGACTTGAGAAAGCTTGTGGAGTATCAGAAGAGAATGAGTAAAATTTAAATATGGTTGGATGTGTATCTTGCTAAGTATTAAATTTCTGTTGTGTACCTGGATTTTAAATATTATTTGCTTGTTCATGTAGATATGTATGGTTTACTTTTTGCTTAATGGGGGTTTAGATTGTTATATCAACATTGAATGGCAAAACTTGAGAATTTAACTTAGGTCGTTCTGATTCAGTTACAGTACAGTACAGTACTTTCCTGTTAATGTGTCTACCCTAGCTTGCAATTGTAAGTACGGTTTCTGCAATTATTTGGGCAAAGAGTACCTAGAAAGCTAGGTACCTTTGAATAATGGGTTAGGCCTAGTCTTATTTAAAGAATATTCACTCTACAAAATGTAAAGAGTGGACTACTGTAAACGCTTTGCTTTTTATCAGTGTTTTAAGTCTTTTTATACTTTTATCGTTTCATGTTTGTACAGTTTAGCAAAACTGAAGTCTGCTACTTAAAGTCTGATTGTTAAATAGGGGTTTGATATTTTAAAGATTTTTTAATTTATATTTTTCTATGACCTCTGAATATATTTTTTCTGAATGTGAAAGAAATAAACATTCTTTAAACAAAGCACACACATTCATACATACATACCCTACCCCCACACCAAATAAAAATTGCCTGTGATCCCACTACAGAGAGAATCATTCTTACCATCTCAGGGAATATTGATAGCTACGCAAATGTTTTTTGTTTTTTCTTATTTGTTTTTGTTTTTGTTTTTGTTTTTTG